TATTACAAATAATAATAACGTTAAATATAGTATTGTACCGATCAAAAAAACATACCTTCCACGTGTATGGTATAAGTACATAGCGATTTCGTGAGAAAAAAGTAAACGCTTGTAGGTATAGTTGTATCTGATTAACTTTTATTTTTAAAATAGAAAGTACAAAATCCTTAAAAGTATCCCTTATTTGTCTGTGTTCGAGGCTGGTCTCGCGAGATTCATTGCCGTGGATTAACATCAACATCAATATTGATTCGAACTAGTACCAATTGTAATAATCTGTTCTATACTAATATATAAAATGATAGCGTTTGTTTGTATGTTCGGGGTAAACTCCGAAACTACTTATTGGATCGTCACAGAGAAGGTTTTAGGCATAAAATTTATTCGGATAAAATTAATAAATAATTAGTTATTATTTATTAAAATAAACGTGTAAATTGTATAGCTTTACCTTTTTTAGTAAGAATTAGTCGCTGGCTGAAAATAAATAACAATCAAACTCGACAACCACAGATGCTACTAGGCAGGTCTATATCGACTTGAAATAATAAACAATTATTATAATAAATTTTAGCAAAAAACAATTAATTTTCTCTGATTATCTATTATAAGTATTTATAATATTAATGGTGTTACACAAGTTATTGGTAAAAAATAACTAGTAACTAATCGAATTTTCACAAATTGTTTGCCAAAATGGTTGAGTAACACTTATATCCGTTCATCGGCTTATACACAGTTGAAATAAAAAATAAAATAAAAATAAAAAATATTATTCATATAGAGTCTTAACCTAGCGTGGGGTACGATAATAATAGTATAATATCTATATCTATGACTGAACTATTATATAAAATAAAGTCGCTTTTTTTTGTTCGGGATAAACTCCGAAACTACTTATTGGATGGTCGTGCAGTTTTTTTAAATTAAAGAGGACATCACAGAGAAGGTTTAACTGTTTAAGGCATACATTTAGTCCGATAAAGTTAATAAGTAATTGGTTATTATTAATTAAAATAAATTTGTAAATTGTATACCTATGTATACATCTGAAGCGGCAGGTCTTGTGCTCTCGCGTTGTCTGGCGACGATTTTGATTGTTATTTATTAATTGTTGATTGTTGGTTGGTTTAATCATTTGAAGGTGTAATTGATTGTACATTTGATTGAAGGTTAATACTAACGTACTACTCTCATTTTCGAAAATGCCTAGATGAAAGTAAAGCTACCTTTAAAGTACAGGGTCAGGTTTACCACGTTGCCGGCAGTATTTTTCCATATCGTAAGGGATATAATTTTTTTTCAACATTATAAAGAATCCGCGGTGGTGAAGCTAAATTTAGATGGCCACATTATCACGGAGATGAGACTAAAATGAGTCTAAAATAAAAATAATTATTTAACATCCAGAGAATAAATATTAAATTAATATCTGAGAAATCATCCAATAGCGAAGCATTGCCGAGTCAGCTAGTAATCATAATACAATTAATACTTAACAATTAAATAATATGATTAATGATTATATTAATAACATTATTAAAAAATTATACTTAATACAACCATTAACCTTTCAATGTTTTAATGTTTAAATTTAAATTTAAATTTTTATGTCAATTAAAGTATTTTTCTTATTTCTGCTGAATCTGCATTAAACTGATCAATAGACGATAATTGTATCAAAATTAATTTTAAAATTCTTCAATACCATAGTATTTTAACAAACTTAGTTTGTATTTAAAAAAAAAAGAATTACCATGCACTTGGATAAACTTTCTTCAGTAAAACGTTGAAAGTTTGAGCTCATAATATTTTTATCCATAAAATAATTAAAACAACAGAATAAATTAAAAAATTGGAAAAATTGTTAAACGACAATATTGTGGTCGAAGAATGCGGACCGACGAACAATTTTGAATCTATGCATTATGAACATATTTTAATCTATAAATAGGTAGCATGGATCTTTTATAAGCATTAACTGTCCATACCTAGTGACGCCTTGGGAACATTCACAAAAAAAAGAAATATTTAATATGGAATTTATCGGTAATATTGCCGCAACATATTTTTCTTCCCTAAATTAGAATTTTTTTTCCGTCAATTGGTCAATACTAGAGGTTCACTGGAAATGTATGACTTATATGAAGGAACTAACATAACACTGAACATGTGTTACTTGTTTAATGTTTCTTCTAAAAAACTAGGCTAAATGTTTTAACAGATTTATTTTCTTCGATAGCTAAAACTTTTGGGTCATAATGATTAATGACATAATTTGCCACACCAACAGCCAGTAACGGTTTTACTGGGAAGGCAGTACTTCCGTTGAAAATTAAAGAAACTACACGGTTAATGTTATTTGAATTATAAAATATTTTTTGTTTATAATTTCAAGTATAGACACTTTAATAAAAGAGAAATTAATAAAATGTGAATTCAAATTATGTATTGAACGGATTATGGAGTATTCCGTGCCCGGCCTCGATCTTTCAAGACATTGGCGCTCATGGTTAGAGACTCCTCGGTGCCCGTTGGGCGTGCACAACAGGTGAATATAATATTACCGTTGCCTCAAGTTTGGTATAAAGAAAATAATGAAAGTCACAAAGTCGAGGCAGTCCTACAATCTTTACGCGAGTACGTCGTGAGACATTTAATTCTGTCAAAATAAAATATATTTGTAACTAAATAATGTTTGTTATAGAGATGGTGTGCTATCACTGTTATGCGATGTTTGGTTGGAAACAGCTGATGGTAAAAAAGTATTTGGACATTAAGTTGTTTTAATGTTCGTTAGTCCACATTTCCGGGAAATGTTCAATAGTTGTAATGAATGCAACAAAGATCTTATTTATGTAAGAGAGTTAAATTCTACCGTTTTACAACTTTTGGTAGATTATATTTATACTGGTGAAATCATGGTCACAGGAAAATATTTGTAAAAATGTATTGAATCAAAATTATATTTTTCTATAGAAACATTGGCATTACATGGTTTTTTATATGTTATGGGTGGAAGTGATAGATCTACTTATTTGGATTCTGTAGAAATATACAATCCCAACACCTGCAATACCTGGTCCATAGGATCACTATCAAAATGTCTTTGTCAGATGCTTTGCGGAATGGTCATCGATAAGCCACCAAATTGTATTTATAATTTTAAATAATTAGCTAACTTTATATGGTCTCATTGTTGCTGCACATAGATTATACTCGATGATATATTTAAAAATGTATTATACTGTTAAAAACATATTATTATGTGTAATGCATTGAAATCTATTGTTAATTTATTAATATCAAATGTTCTAATTTCAATTTTTTGATTAATTAAAATATTGTTTAATTATTTAAGTTGACTTATTATATTTAATCGAAAAACAATATTATGAAATTATTATTCATAGAAGCTAAATATATGGTAGTGTATTTTTTTATCAATTCGCTATAAATATGAACATAACATATGCTTGGGAGGGGCCAACGATTGCCGTCGTCGACTTCTGTAGCAGGTTGACGAGTGAATTCGGTGCACTCTAGCTGCCCATGTTTAAAAATTAGATCTAATCTGATGGGCATAATTGTCACTATATAAGTTTGTCATTAATGGTCTCTCTGAGTAATTACCAATTTATACTTGTTGATGCGGTCGCATATTATACCTAGGTAATCGTTTATCAAACGTCTTATTATACTCTATTCAGAATGAGATCATACTTCGGCGGTCGACTTCTGCGCATGGGCGTGGCTTCTTTCAGCAGCGTTGGTCTCAACAACTTAAGTCAATTGGAGAGTTGCATTAGTATAGTACCGACAGCTGAAATGAACACTTCATTCAATCGTATATTAACGAGCTTAAACAATTTAGTACTTCCGCATTCTCAGCATTAACGACCATTTTGCCAAACATACACGATCGGAATTCCGAACCGTTGTTTGACTAGGCGGTGGAAGCGTCTGACCATTGCAGAGGAAAACTGGTCGCCCGAGGTACAATCTCATTCTGAATAGAGTGTAGTAACTATACCAACCGGTATCTTTATATTCTCTAATAATCAAAAATCAAAAATACTCTTGCAGCATATTATTACATTATATAATATATAGTATTTAAATACTCTATGATACATAGATACAAATTTAATAAAAATACCCAATAATACTCTAAAATATCGGAACGTTGAATCTGAATTTGAATAAGTGTATTAGTAAAGTGGAGAGTTGATTCGAGCATGTTTAAAAATGTACGCTCTATAAATGACAATACATTAAAATTACATACTAATATTTTCATATACACCAAGTACAGGTTGCCTGTTCAAGCCTTATTGGGCGTCTATGTATATTTATCTCTAATTGTGAATCTAAATCATCCAATAAACCACTGAATCACACACACAAAATTGTCATTCAAATTGGTTCATTCGTTAAGGAATGTTTAGGAGACATGCAGACAAACATTCATTTTTATCGTGACGGACTCCCACATAACCCACTATGGGGTTGGCGGTCTTACCTATAGAATTACTTTACCTATTTGAATAAATACACAACGTCCAAATTAAGAGTATAGCTGTTTAAGAAATAAGAATCACAACACAAGGAATGGATGCATGGACAAATCTCAGATTAATGAGACAGCAAACGCACACATTGCATTTGAGTGATTTCGTAATACGTTACTACACGTGGTGCGTTTCAATATTCGTATGGCAATTTATCTAAAAATGGTTTGAATTATTTGTATTCATAAAATTCACCGACAATTGTGCACTCTTAATAATAATATTAAAGCTAATACTTCACATAGAAATGTTAGTGCACGACGAATAAATACATATAAAAATGATTTCATGCCTCGATCTCGACGAGAGAAAATAATTCACTTTATAGAATAATACAAAATGATAGCTGCTTAAGGACAACGATAATCATAATAATAGTTTGTGCTGGCCATGCATTAAAAATGCAAATATACAACAAGGTTGTATACCTACTTATGTGATATATGATGATAATAATTAACGATCCAAAGTTAATATAAAATAAACATGCAAACGGACAATAATAAAGATTAGAGGGGAGATCTAGCTAGGGCATATGTGCCCAGTGGCGGCCTAGCCAGGTCGACCCCCTTCTAATAAGGCCCCTTGAACAGAGCCGGATTATTAGGATTTGAGATTAAAAAATATTTTTATAGTTACAGTCGGCGCAAACAATAAGTAATTACAAAATTAATTATATTATGAGTATTTTGTATAATGTGACCAAATTAGTTGTTAACTAATGATATATATTAGAATTTTGTATAATGTAATCAAATTGGTTTTTCCCACGGCCGTATAAGATTCATTTCGAATGCAATGCAGCCAACCATTTTATTTTCTACATTTTTTATCATATATACAATTTTATATTTTCCATAAAAATATACTTTAGGAAAATTGTGATCTTCTAATTTCTTCACGTCAAGCCCGGAGGAAATGTATGTGCCCTGTAAAAATTTAAAATAACATTTATACAGTGTCTGTTCATAATAATTGTGTGGTAATGCGCACATGTGTACATAAAATTGGAATTTATATGTTTTTAAAACACAAACATAGTCCGTTTTTTCTTAGAATCATTTTTCGTCGGAAATTATTATCATTAAATTCAAATTTAACACACCATTACAGTAACAAAACAATGACAGAGTATACCAACCAGAGTGACATTATTGATTTTTGTAATTATTATTAAAATAGTATGTGAAGTATTTTTATTAATATTCTTTCGTAGGTTTTAAAATTGGCCATACTGTATTGAAATATAATTACCATAGAATTAATTAATTTATTAATTAATCAATTGTATACTCTACCGCTGGCATAGGACAGCTATCATTTGGGAAGTTAAAAGCTTTCATTAACGAAACCCATGTATTCCCTAGGACAAATTTCATTTTGCTGCATGCATTTTTTGTTATGTAAACATATGAATTTGGTTTCCAACCACCGGTTAAGCTCCAAGACGCAATGTTTACTTCTAGCTAAAAAAAAATAATATATTTATTAAGGTAAAAGTTATGACGATGTATATTCTAGTAAAAAATAAATGTTTTCTCTTTATTTATAAAAATCCTTGGCCACAATCGAGGAGAGTGTCCTCTAACGAGTAAAATATTAGCTTCTATTCTGTTCAATCTATACTCATGCAGTGAACAGAAAAGCTTACGAACTCTTACACTTCTATCGAGAATTTCGCCGACGTCAAAATTTTTTACTCCTCACATAAAGATTCAATAACTGCTGGTTATAGCTCACAAAAACATTTAGACCTAATGTCAACCTGGTACACAAAATGGAAGATAAAGATATATCACGAGAATTCCTCACATTTGACTTTTGACATGAAACGACCTATCACCTTTAATAGACATAATATACCAAAATCCTCAAACTCTAGCTTCGTCCTAAATTTTATCGTAGAACTTCGCCAAACCTGAGCAAGCAATATAAATAGCAATATAATCCTCCTTAACTCTAGGAGGAAATCTTTTTATAACTTATTCGATAACAGTCTAAATTTAGCATACAAATAAATCAACCATTTATAAAAGTATAATCTCTATTTATGCCTATTTGTATATACCTACGGCATACAGCTATAAGTTAAGACAGGCTCAACTCTGAAGCACAAATAAAATTAAAATCTTCCCAGTAATCCTCTTCACACTGATGAAAACCATATTGAAATATCAGTAAAATCTCAATATCTATTTTTTTGTTTAAACGCTTATGAATGCTAAAGATTAATTAGGTATTAACATTTTCAAGGAAATAATATGATATATGAAAAAAGAAATACTTATAGAAATATAGGTTCATAAACTTAAATTACAGTTTCTTTGTCTTATAAACAGAGTTATATGAGTATAATATATTACAAAGTGCATACAAATTTTTCAATAAATAATGCAACCATACATCATAAATAAAATACTTACTGTATAACTATCATCAAGAGATTTCCATAATGTTATATTCCCTTTCAATTCAGTTACATTTGCAGATTTTTTACTGAAATAACCATTAAATTGAAATGTTTGGTTTTTTGTCAATTCACAGGGATGTACTCGATTAAATACTGTACGATATTCTCCCTAAAGTAAAAGTTATGTATTTATAAATTAAGTAGAAAAATAACAAATAAATTATGTAAAATATAATTTAGCCAAAGAAAATATGAAATTTGTTTAATAAATAAAGCAGATTATTAATTTACCAACGACAAGTTGGGCATAAAAAGGTTTTGAGATTTTGACAAATATAAAAACCCAATCAGAACTAGTACATTTATTAATATCATTTTTGATAGAGTATTTTATCAGTTTTAAACTTAAGTCTTGAATAATAGTTATTTATCATAAAATATATATTATATTCATACATTTTGACGGATTGATACGCTTGAGGTGTAACCTCTAAAAATTTCCGGAATTATTCATAATATTAAATTATTTAAATAGGAAAAAAGTAATAAAGTGGGTCCGGAAATCTGCATGTATTAACATAGTTGTAAAATATGAGCCTCATTAGTAATATGTGGTTCATTTTTATCAAATACCTAGAACACAATTGTACCTTTTTAGATTCTAAGCGCTCCGCTTCGATCACTCCGATGAATGTACTGTTCTTCCAATGATGTGTGTTATTTTATTGTGTATAATGTATATACAACAGGGAGTTCAACTATCATAACAAAGTTATTGTTACACTGTAATACGTGACAAAATACCAAACAAATATTTAATGGTGCGGTTAAACATTAGCGGACTGGTACTCGAAATGCGGCGGGTAGCGTCCGATGTAATATTTTACGGACCGTGGATCAACCCGATTTCTATTAGACTGTGCCTTACACGCAACTAAAAACTCAAAACGATAATCTTAAAGAATAAAATACTGTTGAAAAATAATTATGAATTATTCTCGATAGACTTATCAAATACTAACTACGACTAACATTTTATAACATCAATTGATCACTTGAGACTCCGCGGAAGGGTTTGTAGCCTCATATGTCTACCCATTAAGTCGCTTAATGTTGCCTTAGAATTAATTTTGTTTTGGCTTGCAAGAAAATCAATTTTTCTATCGTGCTTATACATATGGGGTTGGCATTGATTATATATATATATATAATGATATATATTCGATATATAGATATTAAGATAGATATTATGATTGGATATAATTATCTGTGTTATATTTTGTTATTTAGGCTAGTCAAGCCATTCCATATAAATATAAAATTGAGTAACAATAATATAATAAGATGTAGGTATAAGGCGTAACAGAAATACTTGAAAAATTAAATAACTAATTTATTCTAATCAATATAAAATTTTTTATTTTAAATATCATTTTTAGGTGCTTGCTTTTCAAGTGCAGTATATATTTTTTGTTTTTATTTTTAGTACTGAAAATCACCAAGCTACACTCTCAGCTTCCCCCATTTTAAGATAATAGTTGAGAACACATATACTTTAAAACCTCATGCAAATTTTTCAATTTCATAATTTGAGTAGTATATAAATGTAGTTCCGATTAAAATTGATATGAATGAGTAATTTTCTCAAACTACGAATAAGCATAATACGAGTTACATAAGACGATAAATTATACAAACGTATATGATCGACATTTTTATGTTATCACGTATTTGTAATTTTCAATGTATTGCCAATTGTCATATTATTACATGACATATTGTTCAACACAACTAGCAACAGAAATGTACCATAGTCTAATAAACATTATAAGATCAATATCATAGTCTCAACTTGAAATAATTAATAAATGAACTATTATCTTCACGAATAATGCTTAAACAAAATTAAAATCTACTTGACAAACTGACTTGAACATAAATAGAAGGTGATTTATTAAAGGAAAACACTTGCTATTTCTAAACTGGATGATGACATTTTTCAAAAGGTTTAGATTCATGATTTTTTTTATACTTATATTTTTGAAGGAAAATGTCTTTACGGAGGTTACATAACTATAAAGCCAAGTGATAGAAAACACAAATTAAAGGATTCACAACTTCACAAACAAACGAATCGCAATCTTTAAAGTGCTCGACGTCAATACTGTTATGAAATATGAACGCCTGACTAAAATTAAGTATGTGAATATCTCTTAGGACTGATTTTTTTAAATCATTTTTTTTTTATGTTAATTTAATAAATTGTTATACATATATGATATAGATGAGATCGAGGAACATAATATATATATATATCACCATCAAATCTAAATATTTTCTGTAAATAGCTCTCAACAATCGAAATTCCATTATTTTTTCTATTTTAATCTATGAATTGCTCCCACTCTCGCCAACGAGTGGTATTGTGAGGGCCAACAAGGGTTGCCGACCCTTGCTTTAGACAGAGCATGCGCACTACCCATCACAGCGACAATCTCTATATATATGCCAAAACCTGCTCTGACAACAGGATTCCTTATTATGACTAGCAATAATCAGTGTGTTTTATTATTTAGATTCGCGTATTTTGAGTAATTAATTTGTGTCACCTAAAACTACAGGTGAATGCAAGTTCCTACACGAGACCTGGCAGGTAAAAAATATATAAATTATTTCCTACACTAATGTAAAAATGAGTTGTATAACGTGTAAGTTCCTACATGCTAAAAAAAGCTGGGTATGTTAGTTCCTACTCTACGGGAAAATTATGTGGGTATGTTCTTACACAGTAAAAAAATTCAAATGTCAGTAAGTGTATATTTATGATATATTATGGATTAGATGTTTATATTACTCATTAAACTAAATGTAATTTATTAAATGTACTCCGAACTGATTGGAACCAATAACGTATTAAAAAAAAAATCCCATAATACATTTCATAAATAAACAGATAATGATAGTAAATTACAACAAAAATGGCATGTCGTATTTCATAAATAAATAGATAGTTAGTGATAATACAAACTAATAAATAACTATAGGCGGATATGTACACGAATGTTTGGAACAATACTAACAAAACTGTTAAAAGATATTACTCGATGTACATTATTCTGTGTATATCTAATAGCTTTAAGATTACGATACCAAAATCAAGTTGTCTGTATTATTTTTATCAGTAACGAAAAGTCGTAAATATTTTACACGTCAAAAAATCGAATTTAGATGCCAGCTTTATCTATAAGCTATCTTCATACACTATTAAATTTAGGCACCATATTATATAGCTTTTTAAACAGTTTAAACAATAAGGGTGATTATATTATAATAATATGCCTAATCCGCACACTATAATATTAAATCCCAATAATGAAATTGAAGTAATTTTTCCACAGTGTAAGAACTAACATACGTGTCTTTTTTCATCATGTAGGAACTTACACATCTCAATTTTATTTTTATGTAGGAATTAACACATCAAATTTGTAGGAAATTACTTATGTAATTGTTTACGTGCTATTCTCATGTAGGCACTTACTTTCCACAAAACTTCTACAGCATAACCCAGAGACCACTGGTAGTCAGGACAGGTAAGACATTTAATATGCTATATATTATATTTGATCAAATTCTCGAATACACAACCTCGAGAGCCCTGCGATCGCCTGGAGAAAGGTTATAGCGTAATTCTAATTCTTTTAGCCGGTATTTTTCTCCTGCATTTATAAGTTCAGAGAATCATACAGGCTTTTAATAATTATAATTTATAGGCTTTATAATTATAGGCAAGATTCTTTTAAAATTTATCTTATTTTTGCGCTATTAGAATTCTATGCACAAGTCAGTCGTATAGGCCATAACCTTTGTAACGAAATTAAAGCTTTGATTAAAAAATGTGAGAGGTATTATTAGCGAAGCTTTTGAGGGTATTCATGTCGTATGCGGTCTACCGACCGTTTCTACACGTCATATGCGGTCTACCGCATCTAGGTACCGCACATTTTTGTCTACCACGCATGCGGTCTACAACATGGTTAAAAATATGAATGAATACATAAATTTAGAATTTCAATATAATATTAAATAATACAATAAAATATATAAAAATATGCATTAATTCATTATAATATGTATGTAGGTAAATTTAATTAGTATATGTATTAAAAACTAACTGACAAAAAATATAAAAATATATAGAAATATGTATTAGTCAATTTAAATTAGGTACAATATAATTTCACATCTCTTAAAAAACAATCAAATGTGTTGTCATTCTTGTTTTTAGACGCCACCATTGTTCCGCTAAATACGAGGGCAGCAATGATGGAGATGTACCATGCATTTTTTTAATAATTCGAAGTTTTAGACTTCACCATAAACTTTCAATGCGTTGTGTGTGCGCACCACTGGTGGGATCGACAAAAAATTGGGAATGATTGATGGTTTTATGTATGTACCCTTTATTTTCTATCGTCTTATATGCAAGCCATTCATCCGAGTGTATTTCTGTACCAACTTCAATTTCATTTTGAATTATTTCGTGTAATGTTTGTCTGTCTCTTTTTTCTACAATAAAGTATCTTGCATCAATAACACCATTTTCATCTTTTTGACACATACCAAACACCCATGGACCAGTTAGTTTATTACCATAATTTCTATTATTAAAATCCGATTCCTCTTCGTCGCTCAACTCGTCTACATCAACATTTTCAGTAGTAATATCAGCCCCCAATAATCGCCCTCTGTTGTACTTTCTTTTACCACGCATTAAGGATTCATCGACTTGAACAATAGTATTTATACCCCCCATTTTACTTCTTTTTTTCAAAAGCAGCTATTGGTATGTTACGGCATAAATTCATCCAGTCAGTCACTGTGTGATTTCCACGCCCAGTTAATTTTATTATGGTACTTTGTGGTATTTCAAAACACCAATAATATGATAGTTCTAAAATTTGTGACAACGATAGACCGCTATTACATTGACCATTTTTATCAGTATACGTGAAAAACGTGTTACCTTTACGGACGGATTGAGTTCTTTGACAGCCTTTCTTTGTGCATCGTATCACTGTTTGTTCTTTTCCTCTTTCTTTGCGAGTATAGAATTTAGTTTGCGAACCACAGTGAACACAAGGAGGAGTGCCGATTTCAATAAGTCCTCTTTCCTTTAAAAAAGCTACGGTATTTTCTTCCGATTGAACAATTGCATAAAAATGTTTGGCTAACATAATGCTTAAACATAGAGAATGCAGAATTGCAGAATAATGTATCACGTATAACGGCACAAACTAAACTGTAACTGATTTTCATATCTGTATCTGTATCTATAAGATAAAGCTTAATAGCCGTCGGATCAACGGGAATGTCCTAAAATATATATATAGATGCGCTACAGTAGACCGCTTATGACGTGTAGAAACTTACGTGGTAGACGACAAGTGTGCGGTAGACCGCATACGACATGAATACCCTTTTGAGTTTATTTTCTCCCATCACATATTATAACCTCAGTGTCATATAATAAACAAAGCACTTCACAGTGGCTTAAAAATTAGATACAGTCAATCAACTAGCAAAAAAATAATATACTATGTGAATTCCGTTGTGTTGTCAATTATTGTCATATTGCTCATAGTTTTTTGGGCCTAATAAGCTCAACGTGTAGACATCATTTATGCAGACCATATGATGATTCATACATTTTGAAATAAACACTCTTCATCCAACCATCTCAAATTTAAAAATTCTTATCTCAATTGCAGCATTTTATTCATACCCAACCGCTATAACAAAGATGATGCAAGGTAAATATTTTATTTATCCGAGTGCAAGTGCACTTTGTATGATAAAAAAAAAGAGTAAGTACTATGGGATTTTATTCTTTTATACTTCTCGAAACTAGCAACTTGATGTATAACAACACGATGTATAAAAAAGTATTCGATTTTTTAGACATTTATTTTGTCGAGACTTGTAAATAACAAGGAATGAAATAACGAAATAAATGTTATCAAAATTGATAATAATATTAATTATACACATAGTATATAATAACTGAGTAAAATAATTTGATCAATCGGTAAATAAAAAAGATAGTGTGTTTATTGTTTTACAATAAATCGATTACATAATATAACTACAATGTACTTACCTGACAAAAAAAATTGACACTTATTATGTATTAAACGTAAAACAGCAATTACTATGACGGGACATGGATTTTAAATACTTTAAGAAATATGTGAGAAATTCCCAATAAGAATAATTTGAAAAAAGTTATTACGTTTTGAATAAATTTACTACAAAATAATACTGATATTTAAACAAAAAAGGAAAAAATAAACTACCTACTGGTTTAAATAAATATTTTACCATCAACGTTTGTCTAAAAATTAAATTTATTAATTATCTAGTCTTATCTATTTGAAATAAAATAAAAATTGTATTCTTTACTTATAGCGCAAGTGTCTATAAATTATAAAAAAAATAAATGTTTTAATTGATTAGTACAAAATTTATTTTATTTGTCAGGTCTTTTTGTTACACTCTGTATGTATCTACCCATAATTATTTTGTTTAATTTACCAAATCGTTACTCCCATGGCCGTACAAGAGTTATTTCCATAACGTGGCAGCCGAGTACTTTATTTTCTACATTTTTTAACTTAATCACACATTTATATTTTCCATAAAAATATACTTTGGGCAAGTTATGATCTTCAAATAGCTTCAAGTCGATCCCTGTTGTACTATATGTGCCCTATAAAAATGAAGAATTAATTTGTTACAAATACAATATAATACTTGATAATGAACTGCATACAATGTTATTTTTTATAAAACCTATAGCGTAAGTAGGTACTTTAACAATTAATAATATTTTCCACAATGAACAAATGATATTATGTTGAACGTTTGTATTTTATATTCTGAGTGGAGCAATAATATATTATTTATGATTTTACAATGATACATGTTTTTTTTTGTGTCTGTTTACACGATAAACAGTCGAATGTAATACATCACTCTTCAACTTTCAGTATCTTTTAAAAGTGAATCTTGTTAGAACATTTGAGAGGTCACAATTTAAAATCCCCAGTAGTTTTCAAAAACGATGGGAAAAACAAAAAGAAAATTTAAGGAAAAACGGAAGTTCATTTTCAAAATCGGTTTTAGACATAACTTGAAAATTTACCACACTGCTCTTCATAAGTTTTTGTTAGTGGAAATCATAAAAATTTTCAGCTCAAATGTACAATAACTTTTTATGGGCGTCTGAAGTTATAATTTTGACCAAATTCGTAAGAATCACGAAAATTCGCAAATTATTTTGAGTTAAAAATTCATAAAAAAATTTTTTTTAATATAAGATTTAAAAATTGTATGAAAGAATACACTTAAATTTGTCTACCTTTGTCAAAATAAATAACTACCAAACAGCCAAATTAAATTTTTATGAGCGTTTTAAGTTCAAATTGTTATAAAATTGAAAATTCACTCAATATCTTATGGAACAATTTTTTTATTTTGTTATAAGTATAAAAAATTCACCGTAGATAATTTAAATTTAGATCATATGTTTATTTTATAATTTTATAAAATTGTAACTTTAAAAAAAATTTGACTCGTTTTGAGCTGTTTGTGGATGTTTTTAATTTTACATTTTTAAAAAGCTTTTAAATGATATACGAGGCTACTTTTTTATTTTTACTATAATAGCAGTTGCAAAATATGCAAAATAGTTACATACAGGTAGATGGTTTTTTTTTTTTGATCATTTAATGTTAAAATGTTGACATTATTTATTAAATTATATTATATTACCTACTATATTTACACACAATGATATTTTCAAATTGCAATTTTTTCAACATTATTAAATTTAACTTTTTAATCTATACTAAAAATGGTTGATTTCAAGTCATAAATTAATAATATTAATCAATTATGGTTATTACTGATTAATTATTATAAATAACTATAAAATTACTTATAGTGTTTTTATATTTTACCGCTGGTAGAGGACAGCTATCTGTTGGAAAGTTAAAACCTTCAATAAATGGAAACCATGAATTTCCAAACATATTTTTAAAATGACTACATGCTTTTTTTGATATATAAAGCATAGAATTTTGTTTCCAACCACCAGTTGTACCCCATGACGCAGCGTTTACATCAACCTACATACAAATAAATAATAATATATTAGTTAGGGTAAAGTTATCAAAAAACATTAAAAATTCAAGTAGAAATTAAAATATTTTTCAACTCATAGAACATACTCATAATATGTTCACCGGTACTTATTAACTTCAGTCACTTAGTTTATAATAAATATAATCACAATAATTACTAAAACAATTATCAATTTATATGTTCAGTTAAAAAATAAGGTTACTGATCCTGATACCACAAAGTAAAAATTTGGTAAAATTAAAAATTGTTTACACATTTAATCACACTATCGATTTTCATTTTTAGAGGATTTTTCTTTGATCAAAATAAGTAACATCAGCAATTTAATGTGAATAAAATAAGAACTTAAAAAATATGATCTAATATCATAACTGATGTCATACCTATAGTCAGGGGAACGAAAAAATGCATGTTATTAACTTTTTGAACTAATTGTGAGGGTTTAACTGCCTATGATCTAAAAAGGGGCAAAGTCGTCAAGGGCCCAATTTTGTCATCAAATATTAACTGTATGTCAGCTGATCTCATGAACCCTCTGCTAGATCCGCTCTTGTGGCCCCGGTGATACGATGTTTATACTCACCTTATAACCTTATAAGCTTTATTAGTGTCAACGTTTTACTTTTAAGTTGTTGTTATGTTATTATCATAAACATTTAAGTAGTATTAATATATATAAAAATAAAAATTACAGCCATATTATAAATAATTTGATATTTTTAAAAATAAACCATGAATTTTTGATTTGGATAAAATCATAAAAAAAATACGACTTGGCGCATGACAGGCAGCACTCATTTTTCGTGTCACCTGCTGCGAATTTACGAACCCTAACAAATTGTTTGGCACTCTATTAAATAAATGTAAAGCAAGCATATTTTGTGTACCTACCTATATTAAATATATTTTTATAAACTTACTATGATTTTTAAACAATAATTTGCGTGGTTTTAAACTTTTAACCAAATATAAATTATAGATTAAAATTATATCAAATCATAAAAATAATTATTTAATTTTCTGTACATAATCTCAACCCCATGGTCAGTATACACAAAAAGCACACGTTTTTTATGAGCTAGCAAATGCAAGTGTAAGACAATATTTAAAATGCAAATTCCCAAATTGCAATTCTTACTATGTTTTACTGTTTTAGTATGCCAACATGGCCACATAGTACTAAGTAAACTGCTACTACACTCCATAAAAATATCAAAGAATGCGGTCCGTTATACATAACACGCGTTATACATACATGCGTCGGTTGTACATAGATTATGAATCAGGAATTTTCATTTTATATACAAGATGTTCCAAAATAGCTTAACAATTAATGAAATAAAATTTGTTCTTATCAATATTTAAAAATTGAGAACAAGTAAGTGTAAAAATTTTTATTTTTATTTTAGATGCTGGGTGGAGTATTTATTTAACAATGATTTGTAGAGTGTACGTCGTTTTTCCTATCTGTCAATATTTTTTCTATTAGAAATATTACTTTGATTTTCAATTTCAGTATATTTTCTAATTAGAAAAATGACTCTAGTTGGTAATTTTTCAGAGATTTCAACATTCAAAATTACCAGAAGTTTTCAAAAACTAGTCTGAAATAACAAAAGTAACATAGGCTGATGAACGTCTTCACTCAGAATCGATGTTCGTACACAATGATTTAATAATATTATGATTTAATTAAAATTGAACATATTTATCTTATGCTATTTAGCATGATTTAAATTTCATAATTTTTTTCCATGCGATAAACTTTAGTATCAATTTTAATTTTTAATTCTTTAAGTCTTTCTGTTAAACTCTATCTATCTATCTATATATTATATATAATATATGTATTTATTCAATTTAACACATTTTAAACAGTAAAAGTTTTTTTTGTTGTCTATAAAGCTTCGTTGTATGTAAGTTTCACTGTATTATTCTTATCTTGAAATATTCATTAAATACTTATTACTTACTATAAGTGTATCGTCAAAGTCTATCAAAGACGAAACATTCCCTTTCAACTCAGTAATACTTGGAGTTTTTTTACTAAAATAAATATTGAATTGAATTGTATTGTTTTTTCTTGGATCACAAGCGTACGTTTTGTCAAATATCATACGATATTCTCCCTGCAATAAGAGTAGGTATCTAACATTTAGTACACCAGTTGAACGGTAATATGCAGACATTTAATTTATAATTAATTACTATGCACATGATCTTAGAAAATATGTTACCCAAATATATTTAAATCAATCAGATCATTAACTTACCACAGGCAAGTTTGGCATAAAACTGTTTTTTGATTGAGAAAATGAAAAAAAGCTGATTAGTACAAACACTTTTATCATTTTGTCTTTTATACTTAATATAACGGTGATATAGTATTTTACAAGTTATCGGCAGTGGCAATGAACAACAAGCAAGAATTAAAAAATATATTAATACATTTATAGTGGTTGACATGCTTGAGCTGTAACCTCTAAATATTTCTAGAGGTATTCATACAATTTTATTAAACAGGAAAACTATAATTAAGCTGACCCCCCGGAAATTGTGAACTTTCAGATGTTAACTGTATGGTACAAAATTAGGTAAATAAGTTAGATATGTTTCGATTTCCTCAAATTAAATCGATCTGTTATTCGTATAAAAAATAAAAAACAAAAATAATCTAATATATAAAAATGAATTTTTATTTGTTTGTTCGTCCTCAATCATATAATTGAACACCGTTGTATATTATTCTCTATCAGTGTTCATAGTAGGTATTACAGCTACCATTACTCATTAGTCAAGTGACTATCACAACGCTGAAAGTGGTAGATGACAAAAATTAAAGGGTTCATAGCTTCACTAACAAATGAATCACAATCTGGATAGTGCCCGACGTCAATACTATTATGAAATATGAACGCCTGACTAAAATCTCGAATAAATTATTAATTATTATAAAATAAAATCTAACACTAATAGTAATAAGATACAACAATTATTTAACCTTTTCGAAGGACCTTATTTGGTTATCTTGAGTGTGACCGACGTCAACTACTCTACTACGTAGTAACAATACTTTGATTATAAATAACATTTTGGTAACCAGTTCAAAAACACTTAAAAGGGTAAAATATTTATTACCTGTATTTGGGAAAAAATTCAATTGCTTTAATTTTGAATTAAGCAAATTTATTAGGAATACAACAGTCGTAGGTGGAATTAGGGTTGGCAGTCTCAGAATTCTCGGAAGTTACAAAAACTGTAAAAATTATAATTTTAATGAGCAATTATTCTTGGTTACTATAAGCAGCAACATATGTTGATTTATGTGCTGATTCAGTCAGCATAACGAGTGTTATCTAAATTAAATACAACAATAAATAATTCTTTTTAAGGGTTGAGGTTTAAGAATGGTTCCCACAAAATATTTTTAAATATTTGACGTGTAAATTGTATGCAAATAATTACAATAATAATAATAATAATAATACGCAACGAGTGGACAACCACACTATTATAATAGTTACCGAATATTAGTATGAATAACTTTTAAACGATGAAATAAATACAAAACAGAGAAAGAGAATAAGAAAAAAGGGAAAACAATGCCAGCTAGACGAAAAGGGGCCAATTTGAGCAGTCGAACAAATGCTGCAGCTAAAAACATGAGAAATATAAGAGCTCAAAAAACAGATGAACAAATCCACTAAGATAATATTACGAATGTGCGCTAAGAGTATTGCTCAATTGCGTGAACCTCAATCACAAGAAGTACTAGCTGAATGCAATGAAAAACGACGGTTGGAGCTAAAGCAAGCACACCGGTTCGTAATTAACCTACCCAGAGCAAATTACCTACAACGCCAACAAGTGCATCAATCATTTACATCTGATCCGTTCCTTCGTCTGTCATTCAATAATGGACTAACTATGATTCCAGCAACTTCGTCAACAACAAGCGCATTGAATCTATGCACGTAGCTGGTGTTTTGTCTGGATTGATTACAATAGTGTGATTGTCAACTTGTAATTCATGCATGTGTGATTTGGTGAATCTCAATAATACATTGTGCTCATTTAATGGAAATTATTACAGTAGCCTCAAAGTGCATCTATACTCGATTTATGATTGCGCTCTCTGTGTCCTCACCACCCATGAAATAAATTTGTAAAAGTGTATGTTGTTTTTCCGGCATTGAGCCCACTTTGTGAAACACTTGACATTTTATTTTAAATGTTGAGTTAAATTTTTGAAAATTTGGGGCATTGTTGTTTACTATTTCTATTGCTCTAAACGATGTCATTTGAAAGCATGGATCCAATTTGCGAATTGATTTCAGAAAAAGGCTTGAACCTGTATCAGTACCGATAAATAAGCCTTTCAATGGTTCGGGCGGTGTTTAAATTACTGGTAGTTACACTTTTCCAGACACATTCCGGGTGACTCATTTTCTAATTTAAGCGCATTACGACGGGAACACTCCTTGTCTATAACACTAATCGTCACCTCCGAATGAGCGTAATATACAATATATGACTAATAACTGAATGATAGACGATGAAGGAACGAATCAGATGTAAATGCTTGATGCACTTGTTGGCGTTGTCAGTCATCTGCTCTGCGTGTTTATTACGAACCGGCGAGCTTGTCTTTGTTCCAATCGCTGTTCTTTTTTGAGTTCAACTCGTGCCTTTTGTGATTGAGATTCATGCGATTGAGCAATACTCTTAACGCACATCCGTAATATTATCGTAGTGGATTTGTTCGTCTGTTTTTTGAGCTCTTTTATTTCTCATATTTTTTGCTGCATTTGTTCGACTGCTTAATTGGCACCTTTTCGTCTTGCTGACATCGTTTAATTTTCAATAACTCTACAGATCCTGCACATATTACTCTATTTCAAATTACATGTATGTCTGATAATATAATATATTATTATACGTATCATTCTGGCTGCACAAACTAGGATAGTACTATTTTAGTTCATGGTGGACAGTGATTCCAATATTGTAATTTTAAATTGAAAAAATTGTACCCCCACCCCCAGATCTTTGCACTGATCCGCGCCTAGGTCCACGGGAGGAGAGGAAGTTGCCTACTCTGCCCCCCCCCATGTAGTCCAACTATGGGTATAAGGTATATAATAGATTAATAGCATGCATGCAAATTAATTTTAATATTTTAAAAAAAAAATTATTAAAAAATGTAATAGAATATAAATCTAAAAATAAAAATGGGAAGGGGTGCATGGGCGCCCACGGGCAAATGAATTTTAAGAATCAAATAAAATAAAATTATGAAAAAATGTAGGTACCTACATTAAAAACAAATATTAAAGACTGCAGTCTACAACATTACTATTCCTAAACTCATAGCTTTATTTTCAATAGTTAGATGATGAAACAATGAATTTTTATAAGGCACTAACTTGTTATCAAAATTTTAAAAAATGTTTTTAAAAAGTTTAACTAGAGTTCAATTATAGAAAAAAAAAATTTGAAGGGGGCTTGGGCGCCCAAGGGCAAATTAATTTTAAGAATCAAATAAAAAAAATTTATGAAAAAATGTGCATTAAAAACAAATATTAAAGACTGCAGTATACAATAACTATTCCTAAACTCATAGCTTTATTTTCAATAATTAGATGATGAAACAATGAATTTTTATAAGGCACTAACTTGTTATCAAAATTTAAAAACATGTTTTTAAAGGTTTAACTAGAGTAAAATTATAAAAAAAAATTTAAAGAAGCGCATGGGCATCCGCAGGCATATGAATTTTTAAAATCAAAATAAGAAAATTAAAAAAAAAATTTGATATAATTTAAATTTGAAAATAAAAATGAGAAGGGGGGCATGGGCGCCCGCAGGCAAATGAATTGTAAGAATCAAAATAAAATAAATTATAAAAAAATATGATTGAATATAGATTTAAAAATAAAAATCGGAAGGGGGGCATGGGCGCCCGAGGGCGCCCGAGGGCAAATGAATTATAAGAATCAAATTTAAAAAATGAATGAAAAAATGTACTTTAAAAACAAATATTGAAGACTACAGTCTACAATATCACTATTCCTAAACTCACAGCTTTATTTTCAATAATTAGATAATGAAACAATGAATTTTTATAAGGTATACTAACATGTTCTCAAAATTTAAAAAATGGTTTTAAAAAAATTGAACTAGAGTTAAATAATTGAAAAAAAAAATTCGAAGGGGATTATGGCGCCCGCAGGCAAATGAATTGCAAGCATCAAAATAAAAAAATTATACAAATATATGATAGAATATAAATTTAAAAATAAAAATGGGATGGAGGGCATGGGCGCCCACGGGCAAATGAATTTTAAGAATCAAAAAAAAAATTTACATTTATAAGACTGCAGTCTACAATATCAGTATTTAAGAATAGTAACCTAAACCCATAGCTTTATGCTATTTTATGCTTAGTTATGAAAAAATGTGAAAAAATATGATCAGAATTCTATTTACTTTACCTCAGTACAATAAAATAATGTGTTTATTGAATGAAAGTTATTATAGATACAAGAAATGAATGTGAAAGAGTTCTTAGGACTCATTTACGTTAAAGCTACTTTTTACAAATAGTTTAATGTTTGAATTAAAATAATATTGTGTTTCATACTGTTACTAGCATACATTTTGAAAAAGTATACAAAAAATTCAAATATAGTAATATTTATATTTTTGTTTTGGTCTTAGTTAATAAGTTAGAAAAAATAGATTAAGTGCAATGTGGAAAGAAGTGAGAAGAAAACATATTGGGAATTCTAAGTCAATATTATTTTAATACACTAAACCATATATTGAATTAAAACTATAATGAATAAATAAATACTGATAACCTCACAATAACTCCTCATACCGTCAACTCTCATTATTTCTTAATTAAGATTTTGTTTTATTTTTTGATACATTAGAATTTTTAAATTAGTTTTTATAATTTTTTGTGATAGACATATCACTTTTTAGTGTTGACTGTATTTAAGTTATTATTAATTATAAGTACTGGTACAACGCTAGCCGGCTGGCTTTAAAACTGTGGATACAAATTATGATGCTTAATTCGGTTCTAATTTATCTTGGTAATATTTAAATATTTTCTTTTTTGTTATGCTTATACAATATCGAATACCTTGGTAGTTAGTAGGAAAAGATCATTGCAATGCTCTCGACCAGGGATGATAGTATACTACCACTAGCCTACTATCATCACCATAGCTTCAACTTTCCATAGCCCTTAGGCGTACTAACCTTTTTATGACTTATTTAACCCTCTGTCTTAACAGCATAGTCGCGCGAGTTGGACAGTGTGGTGGGTGCTAGTTTAATCACCTCCGTTTGGCGCGCGACTAACAGAGGGTTAAGTGGGACCCTTAGAA